GTGTCTATTCCCATCTTACCCCTAGGTTCTTCAGAACCTTTTTTTTTTTTTTTTAGATTCCATATATATGTGCTAGCATACGGTAATTGTTTTTCTCTTTCTGACTTACTTCACTCTGCATGACGGACTCTAGGTCCATCCACCTCACTACAACCAATTCCTGCTTTAGAACCGACTGAGGGTCAGGAGCCAAGCCAGGCCCTCAAGGGGAGAGGGGGGGGGGGGGCAATCCCTGCTGCGTGTGTTTATCTCACACTTTCATGCATCGCGCCAAGTGTCCCTGGCAACTAGGCACTCCCCTGCTGTGCCCCGGCAGGAGCGTCGCGCTGTCACAGACCTCTCCTCCTGTGACCCCGCTCAGGCGCGCCTGTGCACTTCACTCACGCCGGGAAATAGAGGACGGTGGCCAGACAGCCTGTCTGGATCAGACAGACCCGGCTTCAAATTCCATCTCAGCTGCACAACCCCAGACAGACTCAACCCCCGTGAGTCTCAATTTCCCGGTCTCTAGGCAGGCTGTCCCCGTCCTCCGGGGCCAGGGCTGGGATTTGGTGGCTCACGCCAGCCTCTCCTGCGATGGCTCATGATCTTGGAGGTATCCTGGAGCCTCTCTTCTTCCTGGCCCAGGTGGAGAAGGAGAACTTTGTGATCCAAGAACTGAAAAACCACCTGCACCAGCTGCCCAAGCTCTCAGAGAACAGCCTCCTTCGCACCAAGCAGGAGGCTGAGAAGCAGCAGAAGGCGGACTTCCGGGCCTCGCAGGCCCGGGTGGCCAAGACCCAGCAGGAGATCCTGCTGCTGCAGGCGCAGTTCAACAGCCTGGTCGTGGAGAACTGGGAGGCAGAGCAGGCGCTGAGGAAGGTGCCCCGGGGAAGCGGGGCGGTGGGGGCAATGGGGCCACTGGGGCAGGGGAGGGGGCGAAGGGAGGGCCAGGCGCAGGGCTTGGGGTGGGGGGCAGGGCTGCTTCAGCCGCCCGGGGCGCAGCTCCCTGGGGAGAAGGGTGCAGGGAAGCCCAGGATGGACGCAGTATCCCTCGGGAGGCGGGAGGGAGCAGCACACAGGCCAGGGGCTGGGTGCAGAGAGATCAGGTCCTGCTGCAGGCCAGCTCTGTGACCTTGGGCAAGTTCCTGAACTCCTCTGGGCCGCACAAGGAGGATGATACCCACCTGTCCTGCAAAGGAAATGAAGGCGCACAGAAACCTCTGGCAAATCTCTTAACTCCCTCCGAGCCTTAGTTTTCACATTTTTAAAGTGAAAGTGATTGAATAGGCCTTAATGAGTTGCTATGAGAATTAGATGGGATGATGGGTAGGCAGCTGGTAGCACCTAGTAGGTGCTCAATAAATATCCTTTTTTCATCTGCCTTCTCCATCGTCTCAGCCAGGACCCAGGCCCAGCATGCACCCAGTTTGCTTCCGAATCCCTTTCCTCACAAAGGACACCCTTTCTAACACTTGTTCTCAGATTCGTTTTTGTTTCACTACACTTTCGAGCATCTAATGGAAGCACCGGGCCTCTCCCCCATGAAAAGGCACAGAAGCACATACCCATGGTGGGGGGCAATTCTTGGGTCACAGGCCCCCTGAAGCCAGCCCATCCGTGGTGCCCAAGTTACGAACTCTTGCACTGTAGGACTAAGGAGCTGATTTTTTTTTTTTTAATTGAGGTGAAATTCACATAACATAAAATATAACCGTTTAAAGTTATTCAGTGGCACTTAGTATATTCACAATGTCGGACAACCACAACCTTTATCTAGTTCCAAGATATTTTCATCACCTCCAGATAAAACCCTGTACTCATTAAGTAGCTTCTCCACCCCCCTCCCCCCAGTCCCTGGCAACCACTCATCTACTTTTTGTCTCTATGGATTTGCCTATTCTGGACGCTTCACGTAAATGGAATCATATAGTATGTGGTCTTTCGTGTCTGGCTTCTTTCACTTAGCCTTGCACTTTCAGGGTTCATCCACGTAGCACTTACCGATACTTCACTCCTTTTTATGGCAGAATAGCATTCCACTGTATGGACAGGAGCTGACCTTTTAAAAACAAAATTAGATCACGTTCCTCCACCGTATCTAAATCCACCCAACAGCTTCCACTCTCCCTTACGTTAGAAACCAAACTCCTTCCACTGCTGACACTCCCTCTGTGACACAGCTTCTCACTCTGAGCTCAATGGGACCATTCTCCTCCCCGGCCACGCCATTCCAGCCACACTGGCTCAGTTCCTACCCTTTAAACATCACCAGCTTGTTCCCACCGCAGGGCCTTTGCACCTGCTGCTCCCTCTGCCTACAATGTTCTGGAGCTGGACTGCTGGCTTCAAATCCAAGCTCCACCACCCATCAGCTCTGTAATCTTGGGCCAAGTGAGTTAGCACATCTGATCCTCTGTGTCCTTGCCTGTGAAATGGAGAACATACCTTGTGATGTGGATTCGGGAGGCGAGGCATGAGGCAGGGCCTGCTGATGCAGAGCGGGCTGAGTGCCTTTTATTGTTAATATTAGTCCATCACACAATGACTAATGGAATTTTTTTTAGAAAAAATATAAAGTGGAAACGGAAATTGAGAACTGGATCCAGAAATACGATTTGGAGATGAGTGAAAAGCAGGTATCTGTCTGCCTAAGTCTCTCTCAAGTGTGTTTCCCAAGATCCTCTAGGAATGGAGGTGAGGGGTGGAGAAGAGAAGCCCTAGTATGGTCCATGGTCTATGCCAAGTTCTGGGCCTCTCCAGAGTGGCTTCCCTGCCCCTTCCTTAGGCTCAAGGGTTTGTCTAGCCTGGGGCAGTGAGGGGAGTGGTGGGAAAGGAAGGAGCCAGAAGCTACGAGCCACTAAGATGTGCTTGACACCAGGCCCGAAGATCCTGGCTCCATCTACTGTCAATATGCCAGACTCCCTGTTCCCTCCTGCTCAGCTCCTGCTAGCAGCCCCCTAAGCCAGGACTCATCCCCACGGGATTCAAGCGTTCACCTCCACCACTTCACTCAGTCACTCAGGAACTTTCTACCGAGTGCTTAGATGTGCCCAGTGCTGGGCTCCAGCGGTCAAGAAAGTCCCCATTGTCATCTGGAGGTTCTACTCTAGTGGCACTTACTCGCTGTGTGACCCTAAGCAAGGGACTTGACCCTTCTGAGCCCATTTCTGCATGTGATCACAGTAACACCCACGCTGGAACCATGGTGGGGATTTAACGAGTCACCGTTGTCACAGGTGCTTTTACAGCACAGGATCTGGCCTGGAGGAGGTGCTCAGGGAATAGTAGCCTAAAAACGGGGTGCCCTTAAGCCTCCACCCAGCTCTGTGATAACATCGGTGGCCCAGCCCCGACTTTGGGGCAGGGAGGCCTGGTGAGCACTGGAAGTGACATAAGCCTCTGAGTGGTCAACATCAGGTGTGCTGTCTGATCCTGAGTGCTCTATGAAGGGGGAGGCTGTGCTCTTGTTTCTCTGTTCCCAATGAGGGTGGTGGGTGAATGATGGCAGAGACGGAGTCCACTTAGCTCTGTGTCCTCTGGAAGTACTTTTCTTCTGGTAGATGCCTGGTGGGAGCGGGGGGGATGGACGTTGCATCCATCCTGTCATTTAATCCTGGAAATAGCTCCCACCCCTGCTCCTGGGTTTGGAATTGTCCCCATGTTTCAGATGAGGAAAAATGACGGCTTGAAAGGTGAAGCCCCTCGAGATGTGGCTGAGCTGGGATTGGAAGCCCAGCCTGCCCAGCCCACGAGCCGTGTTCTTTCCTCCTTCCTGACCTATTTCAGCTGGGTCCCACCGCAAACTCACATGGACCGCATCAGCTCTCCCATTCTCATCTGGGCCTCAGATGCAGAAAGGCTTAGCGTAGGCGGTATTGCTGGGGGCGGAAGCGCCTTTGGGAAGGGTGGGAACAGAAGAGGGTGGCAGGCGGTGCTCTGTGCCTGGAGACCCCTACCCCCTGCCTGTCACCCCAGGATGAGTACGAGGAGTTGGATGTCATCCACAAAGAGGAGAAGCTGCAGCTGGAGGAGCTGAAGAGACGGCATGACGTGCTGGTGGAAGAGTTCTCCCAGATCCAGGCTGAGCAGGAGATCAATGCCAAGAAGAGGCTGGAAGCCGAGCAGGCGATGGTGCACATGGTGCGGGCTGCCATGCTCATCCAGGCCCTGTGGAGGGGCTACCTGGTCCGCTCCATGCTCAGGTCCAAGAAGAGGAAGCGGAGCAAGAGCAGAGTGAAGGGCAAGGGCAAGGGCAAGGGCAAGGGCAAGAAATGAGTCCCTCCCCCCAGCCTGCCCAGACCCCTGCCCTCACCAAGATCTTACCTCTCACTCGAGAGCTGGCCTGGAAGCCCCTGGGATGTGGAGCCCTGCGATTCATGGCTTTAACACTTTTTCAAAATTAAAAACCCTTTTAAACCACAGCCTACAAATAAACTTCACTTTACCCAGGGCCATTGGGTGCGTGTCCATGCTGCAGGTGCCGTTTCCACGAGGGGAACACACAGGCTGGGTGTCAGCACGTAACCATTCCTTCCTTTAGCCTCGGTGGGAAGCCGGACCTTGGGCTGCATCTCCCTCAGTCCCAGCCCAGAAGCTGCCATGACTGCGATGGACACATCACCCACCAGGACAGCTGGGTGTGGGTCACAGCTGCCCACAGGGGAGGGCGGGGCAGGCAGAGAACTCCAGGAGGAAGAGGGAGGGTTTCAGGCTGCACTCTGCCCCTGCTCTGGATATCAATTTGCCCACAACTTCTCCCTGGTTTAGCACCATGAAAGCTCAGGGGTCCTGAGGTCATAAACCAGCAACCTCACATTAGCCTTATTCGGTGTCCAGGTAGTTGAAGAATATATTTTTTAATTCACTACTGGCGTTTTTTTTTTTTAAGTCTTTATTGAATTTGTTACAATACTGCTTCTGTTTTATGTTTTGGTTCTTTGGCCGTGAGGCATGTGGGATCTTAGCTCCCTGGCTAGGGATCCAACCCGCACTCCCTGCACTGGAAGGCAAAGTCTTAACCACTGGACCACCAGGGAAATCCCCACTGCCGGCATTTAAAAAATCAGAGGCTACTGCTTAAAAATGCCTTTTCTGGAAAAATCTCATCATCCAGATAGCCCGGGCCTGCGTGTCTTCTAAAGGTGAGGAGCGCCCCCTTTGGGTGGCAGGTTGTCCCAGTCGCCACCACTCAACTGTCTTCCAGCCATCATGGCCTCAGCGTCAGTCATCCCTTATCATCATACTTGGGCGGTTGCTTCCCTTTTTTAGTACAGTTTGGAGGAAAGAGGTATTTGTGGCCAATGTCTACTAAAACATAGGGGCAAGGGATAAAGGCAAATGAGAGCTGAATGTTTCAAGTAAAACTGAGGAGGGAGGGAACTAATTCTTTGCGAGAGTTCTAGGAAATTTAAACACCCTACATGTTTAAAATGCTGTCTGTGCCAAGAGCATGGCTCGCTTGCGTCCCTCACGGGGCACCGGAGCCGTGTAGGCGTCTGAATGTGCGCCCCTGGTCCTAGGCACTGTTGGTCCCTCCCAGACTGTTCCCCGGGAGTGTCTGCTCTTCCCTTCCCCAAAGGTGGAGGCACAGAACCAAAGATGTGGTTTCCAGCTGGGCTCTCTGGAATCCCGGTGCTTCCTGGAGGTGCAATCCACCAGGATGCTGGGATTCTGGGTGCAGCTCCATCAGAACAAAGGCTTTGCTGTTCTTCCTGAGAGGCCTGACCCAGGATGGTGCAGGGCAGGAGGCAGGCGGGCGCTGACCACTTAGGCTTTCTTCCTGAGTGCTCTCCAGGTGCCATGTGGAACTTTCTGGTCTTCTTGGACCCCTCAAAGTCCAAGCAAATCCTAGTCACTGTGGGTTTTTTTTTTTTTTTTTTACAGTAGGAAATGTATATCATATATATGATTTCAAAACAAGTCAACTATAGCCCATATTCTGAGCTCAGGAAGAATCAGCTAACCCCCCAATTAGTGGTATTAGCTAGAAACCAACACAGGAGGATTAGTTGCCCACCTGCCACTGTCATGATTGCTATGTTATTTACCTTTGTTATTTAAATCAACTCAGGCCTAACACTGGCCTTTATCCTAAGGAAAAAATTAGCAAAACTCACGGCTTCGATGAGCTGATATATTTAATACATGAAAATAAATACATGACTATTAAAATTTTAAATGTCCACCCACATATCACCTTGTGTTCCCTGCTGGTCCACATACTGTGCCTGGGAAAATTCCTGAGGCATCCAGACTCAGCTGGAAACTCATCCTGAGCAGAAGCTTGGCTTGAAGGGAGGGAGAAGGAACCCTCCGGGTTGGCGATCATACCATTTATTCACACTTGGTGGCGAGACAATGTTGTGGGTGTGATGGAGTGGGGGGACCCTCCCGGGGGACACCCCTGGGTTGGCACTGATATGCCGTGTGGCTATGACAGAACTTGAAACAGGGATCTCCAGAGGTGGCCCTCATATCCACACCAGCGGCAAAAGCAGGGAGCAACCAGAGGTTGTCAGAAGAAAGGGCGGCACTGCCCACCCTCACTCTGTCTGTCCCCAGGAGTGCTTTGCCAATGCCTGGTGGTCTCCCCAAAGGCCCGCCCACCAGTGCCATCCTCTGAAACTCTGCCCTTTGCTGTGACCCCATGGGCAAACCTGCAGAAAAGACCAAGAAATTCATTTCCAAGGTGGCTTTGGTTTCTGGATGGCTCCGCCTCGTCGGGGGGTAACTGGCACTGAAACACTGACTGAATGAGCCCTGGGAGTCACCAGGGGGCTCCGGAAGGTCACTCCTGACGGGGAAGGTCTGGGATCTCGAGGCCCATTTGTGCAGGGGGTACTGGTGGGTGGGTGACTCGTGCTGGGGACATTAAGGTGGGTGAGGGAATAAGAACGCTCCCGCCTCGGAGGGCGTGGAGAGTCTAACCCATCCACGGACAACCTCCGGGAATCTGCCACCACCCTGCGCTCTGTCTTTGAGGGACTAGCTGGGTGAATGGCTCGCACTGGAGTCTCCCTGGGGCGGGGTGAGTGGCTGCCCCTAGGGGTAGGTGGGGGTGTCCAGAAGAGGGCATGGAGCTTTGCAGCCTCCCCCTTCGCCATCCACGAAGCCTCCCAGCCGGCGCCCTCAGGTCGGGAGCCAAAGAGCGACTCATCGCAGTAAGAAGGAGTGTGGCCAATCAGTCTGGCAAGGGAAGAGAAACAGTGAGCTGGGGAAATAAACCCTAAAAACCTTGCCCACCCCCACCCCCACCCCCTGCCAGGCAGCTGCAGCAGCAGAGGGTTGCCTACAGGTCCCAGAAGTCCCTGTCTCCCAGCCTGGCACCTGCAGCGAGGCCACAGCCCTCATGTACCACTACCCCCATCTCTGCTATTTTTCCCCTGCCAAGTATCCAGTCCCCCTGCATCCTGCCCCACCCCACCCCCACTCACAGGCCAGTTTGCATATCCCGTCCTCCTGACCACACTGATTGGCTCAGGAATAACCACATGACCCATTCTGCACAATAAGGGTCTGCCTTAGGACCTTTGCAGAAACTACTAGGAGAGAAATGTTTTTCTTCCACCTAGCCCTGAAGAACTGGCAGGATATAAGGGCTAAACGCCGGTGGCCATCTCACCTGGGATGTGTAGGGGAAAGCTGCACTAAAACAGAGACAAAATCCCAAGAACGTTTTGAGCCCCTGTTATATGAGCCCCAAATGCCCTTTTTCTGCTGAAGCCAGTTTGCGTAAGTCTTTTGTCACTTGCAACCAAGAGTCCTGATTAACATAACCTTAGTCTTTATAGCTTTCACTTTTTCTCTTAACCCACCACTTTTCCCTTTTTGTAGTGGCCTCGTCAGCCGAACCCTCTGCAGTCATGTGGCCCTTCCAACTATATTTGAAATTGCACAGCCCAGCACCTGGCATGTAGAGGGTTCTCAGTTTGAACTTCTGTGGTCTGGCCTCATCACCAGAGCAGCTTTTAAAATTTTTGCATATTTACTCAGGGCTTTTCATGTGTAGGTCCAGGACTCAGCATGTCACTTGTGTGTCATCTCATTTCTCACAACACCCACAAGGAGGGCGATATAATCCCATTTTACAGACAAGAAAACTGAGGCATAGGGAGGGTAAAAAGGAGGGTACAGACAAGATTCAAATCCAGCGCCCTGCTCAAAGACCCAAGCTCTTGATCACTAAGTCAGACTTAAGTGCCTTCTAGGCCTCTCACCTTTAATTAGATTCATTCAGCAATTTTTTTTTTATTAGTCCCACAAATATTCATGGCATACCTATGAGGTGTCAGGTCCATGGTTTTTGGCCAGGACTAAAAGTGCTTCCATTCCCAAACTGCAAGTCTTTGAAAAGTCACTTGATTTAGCTGTTCAAAACCATACCTGGTTGATACCTATGTCTGTCTGGTACCAAAGCTGCTGCTCAATAGCATCTCTCTTACGTACCTTCTAACTTGACACCCTCTACTTGTCAGCGTCCAGCATAAAATTCCATCCTCCAGGAGAGCATGGGGTTGACTGTTATCTCCCTTGTTTAGGAAACCATACTTCTGTTCATACAGCCTACGCTGACACCAGCGTTTTCAGCCATGTTGTAGCTGTCAGTGCTGCTAATGTCAACCTGAGCCTGCCTTGTGGTCCACGGCAATTGTCAGGTGGACATGATAATAATGGGGACTTGCTCTTATCTCTGTTGAATTTTATCTACTTAAATAAACACTATTCCCATTCTCAACTAATACATGTGCCTCTTGGCTCAGAATGGATCCTAAATATGATTGGCTAGTTATTATGGACTGAATTGCATCCTCCCAAAATTCATGCTGAATTTTAAGGAGGTAATTAAGGTTAAATGAGGCCATAAAGGTGAGGTCCTAATCCAATAGGATTTGTGTCCTTATAAGAAGAGGAAGAGGCACCAGGAGTGTACACGCTCACAGAGAAAAGCCTATGTGAGTTCCCAGTGAATAGGTGGCCATCTGCAACCCAAGGATAGGTAGCCTTCAGGAGAAAGCAGCCCTGCTGGCATCTTGACCTTGGACTTCAAGCCTCCAGAACTGTGAAAAAATAAATTTCTGTTGTTTAAGCCCCCCAGTCTATGGTATTTTGTTATAACAACCCTGATCGACTAATATACTAGTCTTCCATGTTTTAGTTCAAGACACTGATGACAATAAGTAAGATAGAGCCCTGAGACCTCCCTCCAGGCCGATATTAATCGAAATAATCCAAATAATCTAACTGGAACCTACAATAACCACTGGCACTAGATCCTGTTTTTCTAAATTGTTCGTGAAAATGCAGCAAGAACCATTTTCAAAATGACTTGCTGAAGTTTGGAATCATCACATTTATGTCATTTCATGGATCAACCAAACTAATAATTTCATGCAAACCGCTGTGTGATCTTGGGCAAATCACCTGATCCCTCTGGGCCTCAGAAGCCCATTCTAAGACATTTGGGGATGGGTATTCCACCATCACAACCATTATCACTACCATTTACTGAGAGCTTCCTAAGTGTCAGGTTACCGTGTCCAGCACTGTACATGTCTCATCCCATTTAACCCTGTCAATAACCCCATTAGGTCCCACCTTCCACTGTGAGGAAACTGTGGCTCAGAGAGGTCAAAGTGCTTCCCCAAAGTCACACGGCATGTGAACAACAGGGCATCTCCCCATCCTGTTACCTGTATTTGTTCTTCTTCCTTGGTGCGAGAGTCAGGGTCTTGTCCCTGGAGGAGGTAGTCTCACAGCTCCCGTTGGCCCCTGAGGCCTGTGATGCCCCTGTACCCACTCCTCTGGTTCTGTTGGCCTTCCCCATCCACGGTGGGTCAAAGACTGGTGGTGTGGGCTGGGTGCCTGCAGGACTGCCAAACAAAGTCTCATCCACGTATGACGGCCTAACCTTGACCCGGCAGCTGCCCCGGCAGCGGTGCTGAACGTGGAGGGTCTGCATCCCACTGACGGCCAGCTCCACCGGGGTCTTCACGCTGTTCATGGTCCTGGGTGACAGCAGGTGTGCTCTGCCTGCCAGTCCCTGCTTCCAGGTCTCCCTATGAAAAGTGGTCACGGTGGCAACCATCTGTCATCAGCAAAGACTGGCAATCTCTTAAGTCCCCGTCCCCAGGGCAAAAAGGTCACGTTCTCCCTCAACCAGTCCTCCTCAAAGGGGAGCTGCCAATCCCAGGGGACATTTCGGAAAATTGACTTTTTTTGAGTTGTTGTAATGACGGGGAGAAGGGTGCTACTGGCAAATATTTAGTGAGTAAATATGCATTCCTAGCATACAGTGTGTACTCAGTAGATATTAATAGAATGCTAAGGGGGTGAAGAATAGATTGGGCCTGTGCCTACTTTAGCACCAACCAGAAGACAAACTATGGTGGCGGGGGGCAGACAGGGCAGGCTCCTATATCCTGTACGTATCTATGGGGCAGGAATAATAACCTGCATAGATCCCATGCCTACCTCCTGCAAAGATCTCTACAAGTATTCTCATTTAATCTTCTCAGCAGTCCTGTGAGGTAGCTTCCATTATGTCCATTCTACAGATGACAAAACTGAGGCTCCAAAGGATGAAGTCACAAGTGTAAGTCCCACCTATAAAGCTAAAACAGTGGAAACAGAATGTGAACCTGATAGGAGTCTAGAGCTTGTGTACTTAACCATTCTACTACTGGGGGATTACACCCAGCCCGCCAACTGCCCCACATTCACCGATTCCCAAGTCAATGTCCCGGCTGATGTTCGAGGTGCCCGCATTCTGGAGTTATTTTCCTACCTGAACATCTTGGCTGGCTGACGTCGGCGGCCACCCACAGCGCCCCCTCCCCCCAGTCCAGGCCTGGACTGCTTTGCGGGGACGCTTGGGCACCTGTGGAGCGCGGTACATCCGAGATCTGCAGGTCTGAATCCCGGGAGCACGCGACCCCTGACAGCTCAGGCCGCCCCCAGCCCCCGCCCGGGGGACCGCGCGGTCCGACCCTTCCCGGGAAACCCAGCCCTAGCTATGTGTGCTCCACGCGCGCATCAAACAGCAACCCGCGAGCGGTACGGCAGGGCGGGACGGCCAGAACCATTCCCTCCCGGGGGGGGGGCGATTAGGTCACCCTGTTCCGGACGACCCCGGAGCTCCCCAAAGCCTCGGAGAGGGGTCTCCCGCGCCAATGAGGAGAGTGTGTGCGTATGTGTGTATGCATGCCAAGCCTCCGGAGGCTCCAGAAGGTGAGGGAGCGCAGCCTGGGGCGCGTAGAGGCGCCCCCCCCACGCCCTGCAGCACCGTTGGTACGTACCCGCAAACTCCGCCCCCTCCCGGTTCCCTGCGCCCCGGCCCGCATGGCTGCCGGAACGCGTACGGCGGCCGCACCGCGGTCCCGAGCTGCCATGGCCCAGTGGAGGAAGAAGAAGGGGCTCCGGAAGCGCCGGGGCGCGGCCTCTCAGTCCCGCAGCAGCGACTCGGAGGACGGCGAGTTTGAGATTCAGGCAGAAGATGACGCCCGGGCCCAGAAGGTAGTAGCGCTGGGCTTGGACATACGTCAGAGCCCGAGTCCCGGCTCCGCACAGCGTCCCGCGGCCTCAGTTTTCCCAGCTGGGGAGTGGGCACGGCTGAGGGTGGGGAGAGGTCGGCTGGCCGGGGGTCGGGTCAGGACCTCCAGCCTGAGCACGTGTTTCGGTGTCCGACACGCCCAGGGTCCTGACGTCCCGAGCCTCTGTGCTACGGAGGCTGGGGCCTGCGGGCCTTCCGGCCTTCCGGGCCGGCTCTTGGTCTCGCGCTTCTCATTGGCTACTTCCTGGCCAGGGGCGGGTCCCGGTTCCCAGTCGTCCAATGAAAAGTGCGGGTGATGAAGATCAGACTTTGAGAGGGGGATTCTTGGGAGGATGAATTAAGAGAAGGCTGCACCTCTTGGCTTGAGACAGTGACGCCCCCAAACCTCTGGGAAACTAATAAGTTAAACTTGTGTTTGTAGATAGCTTACAGTGTGCTATCTTACGTGCTAAGAGCTTTACAAGCCTTATCATTTAATCCCCACACCAGCCCTGTGAGCTAAGTAGTCACACTCATTTTCCAGAGGAGGAAACAGAAGCCTGGAGGGGTGAAGGAACTTGACCAAGACCTCACAGCTTGTGAGTGGGAGAGCCAGGATTCAAATCCCGGACTGTATGGTTCCAGGCCCTGTGTTATTTCCACTACTGAATGCCAACTGTATGCAAATGAGGGGGGTCAGGTATGAGCACCAAGGGGGCAAAAGAGCTGTATCCCATTATTTCTCACAGCCTTGTGCTTAGCGGGTACCTGGCACAGAGAAGATTCTGGGTAAGTAGATGAATGAGTGGGGCTTTATATGAAGAGAGAGGTCTACACTCCTCTGAGGCAGGGACCAACCAGCTGGGGACCTTATTCCACACCATCCGAGTCTCACACAGTAGGTGCTCTGTAAATATGGACCAAGGCACAGCCCTGTGTTCAAGTTCAACCCAACCTTGTACTGGCTGTGGGACATGGGAGAAGTTGCTTAACCTCTCTGTGCCTCAGTTTCCACACGTGTAGAAAGCTGTTGATTATGTATGCCTCAAAAACTGTGGAAAGGATGGAATGACAGTGCTCACACATTCTACTCTACAGTAAATATTGCTGGGGCACCAGTGTGTTCCAGGCACTTTGTTATCATGTGTCTAGAATGGGGGTTGGCAAGGTTGGCAAGCTTTTCCTGTAAAGGACCAGATGGTAAATATTTTGGCCTTGCAGGGCCATATAAGGTCGCTGTCTTCTTTGACTTTTTACAATCTTTTAAAATTTAAAAACCATTCTTATCTCACAGACTGTACAAGCTCTGACCTAGAGGGTTGGTGGAGGACCATAGAGGGTCTCATAGGAAAGAATATAGACTCCGAAGCCAGGGTTCAAAGCCCTTGCTGGCCGTGTGACTTTGGCAGGTCACTTCAGCTCTTGTGCTTCAGTTTCCTTCTCTGTAAGAGGCACTAAGTAATAGCACTTACTTCACAGGGTTGTTGTGAGGATTAACTGGGTTAATTTATTTTTTTAATTATTTTATTTTATTTTGTTTTATTTTGGTTGCATTGGGTCTTTGCAGCTGCGCGCGTGCTTTCTGTAGTTGTGGCGAGCAGGGGCTACTCTCTGTTGCAGTGCGTGGACTTCTCATTGCAGTGGCTTCTCTTGTTGCGGAGCACGGGCCCTAGGCGTATGGGCTTCAGTAGTTGTGCCTCGCGGGCTCAGTAGTTGTGGCTCGCGGGCTCTAGAGTGCAGGTTCAGTAGCTGTGGGGCATGGGCTTAGTTGCTCCGCGGCACGTGGGATCTTCCCGGACCAGGGCTCAAACCTGTGTCCCCTGCATTGGCAGGCAGGTTCTTAACCACTGTGCCACCAGGGAAGCCCTAAGTGGGTTAATTTATATGAATGCTTAGCACAGCACCTGGCTTATAGTAAGTGCCACGTAAGTTTTAGCCATTATTATGAATTAGTGCTTTTATAAATGTTATTTCTGAGAAGAAAGGGACAGCGCTGTAGTCCAAGAAGACTCCCCAGAGGCGGTGTCTGAGTTTGATTTAGCTGTGCTAGAACAAGTGGGTGGCAGAGACGAGGACAGGAATGAGAGAGACCAGTGCTGGGGAGGGATGATGGATCAGAAAGGGGATTGGGGAGAGGGGAGCTGGGCAGATTGGAAGAGTCTAGTATCTCACACATAGTAGATGCTTTGATTGGCTCCCTAAAGTTTTGAGGGCTTTGAATGACAGGCCAGGATGATAATTATGATGATACCATCACCTGGGCACAGTTCTAAGCTTTACACGCACCCATTTAGTCTTCACAGCATGCTATGAGGCATACGCTCTTGTCATCCCCATTTTCCCAATGTGGGAACGCAGGCTCTGGGAGACGAAGTCCCTGGTCTGAGATCTCACAGCTGGAAGTGACAGAGTTGGGATTGAAACGCAGGCCGTCTGTCTGCAGAGCCAGCTCTCTGACCTGGTCCGGTCAAAGGAGAGCCCTTTAGCAGAGAAGTCATGTGATCTGGCAGGAGCATCATCACCTTGAATGGGGCAAGGTTGGGGCGGGCACTGGCAACAGGACAGCCCCTTTCCTTGCCCCGAGTGGACTCACTCTACCGGGACTGATGCTGCCTCTCTGTTGCTCCCTCCCAGCTGGGACCCGGCAGACCCCTACCCACCTTCCCCACCTCGGAATGCACCTCGGACGTGGAGCCGGACACACGGGAGATGGTACGAGCCCAGAACAAGAAGAAGAAGAAGTCGGGAGGCTTCCAGTCCATGGGTGGGTGAGCCAGGCATCCAGGGACTTTGTGTGTGGGGAGCAGTGGGGGGTTATGGCCTTCTGTGCTCTGCTCTGGACCCAACACTGTGATGGGTTTGGGGGGTCGGAGGCAACAGATAGTCTCCAAGCCACTCACGGCCTTCTCGTGGGGGCAACGGGCCTGACACGATGAGAGAACAGTTAGGGCCGGACTCAGGGGGATGCTGGTGCAGGAACAGGCTCAGATGTCTGGGGATTGAGCGGCGTGACAGAGCTGCATTTCAGAGCCGAGGGTAAGACATGAGATAGTTGGGTGCTGTTGGTACACCTGGCCAGCCGGAAGGAAAGCCAGACTCTTTCTTGGCTCTTTACATATCAGTAGCATCTGGAGCGAAGATTGAAACATCAAGGTGAATAGTTGTATAACCTGAAAGGAAAAGAAGCCTAAGTGTGACCTGAGCACTGTTTTATTTGACTTTTTTTCTATTTAGATGTGTGTATGCCAAAAAAACACTGTAGACTTAAGTAAACACTGTACCAGGAATATATTTGCAACTATGGGACAAAGGGCTGATAACCCTAATATACAAAAAGCTTTTACAAATCAAGAAGAAAAAGACAGACACCCGATAGAGAACTGGGCAAAGAAAATAGCTCACAAAAGGAATCTAGACAGCCAAATGTGCTAAAATTCATCAAAATCAAAGGAAAAAGCCAAAACATCTGCATGTGGCTATTTTTGGCCTTTCTGAATCTCTAAGATGAAGGATTGACCAAAAAGCAGCTAAGACCATGGTGCTTTCCTGTCTCCAGGCCTCCCACTGTCCTCCCATCTCCACAAGCCCAGGTCACATGGAGGCTCCAAAGGCCACCTTCTCCCCCTCGCAGTACCACGTGCTTCAGCTGTCACACCCGTGCCTGCACCCATCACAGGCCCTTGTCACTTAAGATCCTTTTCTTCCTCTTTCCTTCCTTCCTTCCTTCTTTCTTCCTTCCTTCCTTCCCTCCCTCCCTCCCTCACTCCCTCCCTTCCCCCTGCCTTCCTTCCTTCCTTCCTTTCTTTCTTTCTCCCTCCCTCCTTCTCTTTCTTTCTTCTTTCCTTCTTTCTTTCTTTCTCTCTCCCTCCCTCCCCCCCTCCCTCCCTCCCTCCCTCCCTCCCTCCCTTCCTTTCTTTCTTTCTTTCAACTTTTTTTTTTCTTTTGGCCACGCTGCACGGCATGTGGGATCTTAGTTCCCCGCCGAGGGATCGAACCCATGCCCCCTGCAGTGGAAGCATGGAGCCCTAACCACTGGACCACCGGGGACTTTCCGACACCCTTTTCTTTTAATTATGAAAAATTTCAAGCATATAAAAATTAGAAAACAGTGAGCCTCCACATACCCATCACCAGCTTCAGCAGTTTTAACCACTGGTAGTGTTTTATCCACACCCTACCCACTCATGGCCACCATCCCAGAGGATTCTGAAGCGAATCCCAGGCATCCCCTCCTTCTATCCCGAAATACTTCCCACCTGCCTCCAAGAGAGCAGGACCCTCCTACACCTAAAACAAACACAGTTCCTCAGTATAATCCAAAGTCCCATCAGCGTTCAGACTCCCATTGTCTCATGGCATTAAGAGCTTTCAAATCACAGGAATAAAGACTCAGACGTAGAGAATGAACTTGAGGACACGGGGAGGGGGAAGGGTAAGCTGGGACGAAGTGAGAGAGTGGCATGGACTTATATATACTACCAAATGTAAAATAGATAGCTAGTGGGAAGCAGCCACATAGCACAGGGATCAGCTTGGTGCTTTGTGACCACCTAGAGGGGTGGGATAGGG